GTGTTTATTAGGACAATAACACAATATACCTTATTGTTGATTCAGGAACACGCCATGAACAGCTATTTCTGAGAAAGGTGAACGAAATACCTGTTGTAAAATGCAGCTAAAGACATCTGCTACAACGTATTTGACTTATTGTTTAATATAAGCAAAACCATATAGATTCAGTACTTGGAAAGGCAAAGGAAATATTTTGTAAACAGCGTACAGAATGTCCCGTTAATCCCCACACGTTACTCAGAATGGACTTCATTTGCAAATTCTTAGAGTTTCCTCTCACAACAATCCATTCCAGTTATTGGGGTGTTGGGTCAGCCCTCTATCGCGTAGTTGCGAGAAAGTGATTGACCTCCAATCAACCTAAATATTGTTTTGATTTTACGTAGTACTGTGGTAGTTGCTAAAAAAAAACTCTTTCACTCACAGTATTAAACATTTTCAAAAAAATGTTGATTATATCAAACTGTTATGAACAGTGTGATTTTTTTATTAATAACATAAGCTTTTAGTTGAGTATTTTAAACTCCTTGAATGACAAAAGTTTTAATGTAAAACAGATCTATAATCTGATGTACGCTGCCCAACAAAGACGTTATTTATTTATTAGTTTTGAAATAATTCCTGGTAATACACATAGCTTAAAAACTAGTCGATTTCGAGAAACAGGTACACTACATTATAGTGCAAACAAAACGTAAATAACACTTAGATTTTCAATCCATTACTGATTTTATACTGATTTTAAGTCTAAATCTACACAGGCAACGTAACTTATGAAATACTCTTAGTTTATGAAGGCTTGGTATAAAAAGTCTTGTAAAGTGCCATTCTTGTGTGTTCTCTGGTTAGGAAACTAGCCTTAATATTTAGTTGTTTATGATATAAGCGGTCTGATTCATACCTACAGTGTATTCAGGTTTTGGACTGGCTAGGCCTATATACAAATATGCATGAGTGTTCGATGTCATCATGAGCGTTGGAATGTTTACCTAAAAAAAATGTCGTAGTAGAGGGTGATAGTGTAAATCATAGCTGTTCCCTGGTCCATCGGCCGGTGCCTCGAGGGATAATGACCGACGGACTAGGGATAGAGCTGATGACTCGTCCGGTCATGTGAACATCGATATATTATCTAATACTATTTAATAGTAACTAGGTGAAACCCGTCGAAATCGACGGTTACTTTCAAGGATTACGTTAATTCACCTAACTGCGATAAATTGGATGAAATATAGGCTACATATTTTGAGCATTTAGCATTGTTTAAAGAATAATAAGTGTAAAAACAATATTGATATTAATTGCGTTTGTTTCTCCTTTGAAAATGTATTGATAATTATAATTAAAAAATAAATGATTCAGGATTTAATGGAAAACTTTTGCTTTGTTTTAATTTCAAAACATATGTTCAAGATTTATTCAATTTTTTTATATTTTATTTTACCAATTTTAATTTTAGATTAATTTATTGTGGTGTTTAATCAATTATTGTATAAAGGGATAAACCTCAACGGCCACTCTTGGAAATCAACCTGGGAATAAAGATGAAATAGGTTCGTTCAGGACAGGCAATATATTTGTTCATTAATCATCAAGTAAGTACTATGACAAGTTCCAATGGGCGGAAACACATAATTTTTTAGAGGAGATTTTAACCAGGTACTCCAAATAAGGTTCAAATAATATAGCCCAGCATGTACGGTTTTAAAGGAAGCATCCATATATAACAGTAAAACCTAGAGGTAGTTTCCGTTTCTTAGAACCAACCAAAAATATGCATGTCGAAGATTCTGATGAAAAGTAATTAATTGTTTTTTAACTGGGTAATGGAAACCTAACCAGTCGCAAAATAGTTAGAAATCAGCCGTTGAATAGACCCCTTTTGATAGAATATTTAAAATCAATCGCACCTTTAGGAGGAATACCACCACATAATCTTACACTAGGCTAATAGTAGTTTTTATGTTGATCAGAAACAAATCTAGCAAAACGTTTGGTCAATGGGATGCTTTTACTTTACACTAATTTTGTTAAACCTTTCCAAAAGGAGCATAAACGTAGAAATAATAACTTCGTAGGGATGCTAATTTAGCGGTTTTGACCAAGAACTAAGCTTATCTCAACACACCTTTATTTGCCTTTTCATTTTTGACGAAGACGATTTCCAATCTTTCAATCAGGGAAGCCTTTTTATTATCATTATCATCAAACACAAGACCAAAGCTACCTTAGTAAACCAATATTTATTCACAAACATGTTTGCTGCCTTTAGTAGTAGAGTTAAACCTCTGGAGTAATATAAATTATTTATTAAAAATAACGTCAACAAAAGCAAAGAAAGACTAATAACAAACTGTTTCTCAATGAGCTGCAGACAAGCCAAATTTTCCTGGCTTTTGTAGCAAGTTGTTTATAATAAATTGTTGTAAGATTGTATGATTTTTAAAGAAATAAAATAAATCTCTTAAACCGGTGACAAGTTGAAGGGGAGATACAACTAGCCGCAGGTACAACTAGACGTAGGTACAAGTGGGCGTAGGTACAACTAGTCGTAGGTACAAGTAGTCGTAGGTACAAGTAGTCGTAGGTACAAGTAGTCGTAGGTACAAGTAGACGCAGACGTATGAGGTACAAGTAGACGGTGACGTTCCCGACTAGTTGTACCTGTAGATTTTTAAGAGGTACAACTAGACGTAGAGACAACTAGACGTAGAGACAACTAGACGTCCGCACCATCGTCAAGTTGTCTCTACAGCTTTGGACGGGGTACAACTAGACGCCTGTCACCAAAATGCAGCAGGTACAACTAGACGCCGGTACAAGTAGACATCGCCCCCATAAAATTTCAATGTTCATTGTCTAAATAATCAGAGGTAACTTGGGTATGAGTCTATGTTATGTACAAATTCCTTTAAACTACAGGGTTAACAATCACAATAGACTATAAACAATTTAACAAATGAACAATTAACAAAGTTGAAGAAAACAAAAATAGACTATAGTATATTAAAATGGTGTTTTATTTGCATGGAATATGAAACAGTTTTGAAAAGACAAAGTCTTATCATTGGTCTCAATGAGCAGCACTATCAAAATTAATAAAGTAGTGCATGTGGTAGATCCACTACTCGTATTACAACGAGTTGCAATTTCAAAGAAAAACAACAAGGATCTAGAGGACTTCTGCGCCACGAGCTGCGCCTTTCCCCTTATAGCTCTGTTTGATGGAAGAGATATGAGAAAGACACAAGTCTTCTTTATATGATTTTTTTATGTTCACTAGTTAGCTCCAGACCTTAAGCTCTAAAATAATTTTATTGATGGTGGCTTTTTGTTACATCACGTTAAGTGGGGCGTAGACTCAACTTTTTCAGTTGTAATCAACCAATATGTGACGTACATAAAGAAACACTATGGTGAATTCTGCACTGTTGTGTTTAATGGTTACTCAGATACTGTCAACAGCACAAAACATGCTGAACAGGAGCCATCACCAAGACCGTATCAGTCGACATTGATTTCACTGAAGAAATGACAGTGAGAGTATAGAAAGAAAACTTTCTTTGTAATGACAAAAATAAGACCAAGTTCATCAAAATGATTTCTCAGAAAATGATCTCCGAGGGTATAGAAGTCAGACGTTCTGAAGCTGATGCTGATACAACGATTGTGCGTTGTGCAGTGAAAAAAGCAGCATTCAGTGGTCATGTTGCTATCGTTGAAGAGAATATAAATTTGCTGGTCCTACTGATTGCTCCACTCGATCAAGAAATTATCTTCTTCAAACAAGAAAAAATGTAGCCTAAAGTAGAACAAAGAAGTTATTACTCTGATGAATTACAGAAATGTGACTTTGCCAGAAGCATATTGTTCATTCACGGGTTTAGTGGGTGTGATACCACCTCGTCATTTTTCAGAAAAGGCAATTCATTAATTGTGAAATCATCTCGATACCATCACCAACGTATTTTACGGCCCGACTTTGGCCCAAAAGGAAGTCTCAATAGCCGGTGAGCGGATGATCCTACTGATGTACAACATCAGTACATATCGATAAATCGCATTCATCAATTCCACCACTAGAATGAGAGCAGACCTCCCGTCTTTGCCACCAACAAAAGGCTCTGCCCAGCAGCATTCTTATAGAAAATGTGCAAGTGCAAGAATGGCTGGGAAATAAACTACCACTAACTGATTGGGGTTGGACAACGGGCACCGAAGGACTACTACAACCCCTTACTATCCTAGATCTTACTACTCCGGCCGCTATCCTCACAACAATATTTAGCAATTTTGGATGTGGAACACGTTATGCATAAAGCGAGGGTCTACTGCTCAACAATGTGCGGAACTGAGAGGGAGTGTGCACCAATGGCCCTCTGGTAGACGACGATTCTGTGAATGTGGATGATTCTGAATAATCCCTCGATCCCCTAGTTTAAACGACATGACCCATGTTTGTAATCATTAAAATTATTTTTAGTAATATTAAGTTTAAAAACAAAAATGCAAATAAAACACGATTTTAATATACTGTTATTTTCTTTACCCTTTAGCTTTAAACGGTTAAGTCGTACAAAAAAATGCATAGTGTCATTTTTGTAGGGAATTTTGTCAGCTATAAGTTTTGTATTTAACACTTTTCAATATGACTTACAGATTCCGATATATAAGCGAAAAACTTAAAAAAGTCACATTCAGAGCCCTTCCCTTAGTCAAGCTCGACCCCCACCCATCAGGACTTTTTATTTTATTCAATCTAATGAGCAAGAGGAACGTTTAAACAAACTTCCAACTCTCCGGGGATTTTTTCACCGGAATGGCAATTTTTTGTTTTATTTGACTGGGCTAATGTCTATTATGACAGGCTAACTGAGCTCAAATGTAACTGCCCAAGCAATAAAAATACTCATAATTGAGAAACATAAATGCCTTTAGGATATTGTGAGGGCATCTTAATTAAATTAAAGCGACTTTTTTGATCCCTTTCAACTTACTTATGGCCACAAATCAACGTCTTGTTGCATGGCTTGTCGCAAGGCACATGCAGTCTTCCTTGCAGACAGGCACCACATGTTCCCTCACAGGTGTGGCCGCATCTCATGAGCTTCCCACACGGGTGTTCACACAACTCCAGCAGCTCGTCACTACCTCCATTCAGGCCTGCAAATAAAATAATTAGCAAATCAAAAGACAAATGGAGTCATTTTGTAAAGGTAAATAAACATAAAAATGTACAATATTTTGTAAAAAGCCTCATCTTGTGACTGTAATGTAAACTTTCCACTGAGTTATGATAAGTCAAGCATCATTCCAATGGAAATCAAGTCTTTGAAAATTTTGAATGACGGAAATTCACAGAGGGATCTACTAATAATGCATTACACAAAATCAGTTGACTTCCCCTTACTTGCCTCCATTAGGTTGGGAAAGTCACCTCATCCATGGCCATTTGCTCTTTGTCAGGTGCTGTTTTGATCCTTACAGATGTTGTTGATAAATCCTTAAAAGTTGTGTAGTACATTACTGCAGTTGACTAATTTTACACACTTACCATGTCTGGTTTTGAAACATAATAATTTTTTTATGAACTTCAAATGATTTAGAAATTTAGTTTGGACATTCGTTTGATACAGTCCTGAGGTATCCTAGGGATAGAAATAATCTACTGCATGATTTATATCCTGATTAATTAAAATCATTTACTACTAACTACTACTACCGATCAAATATACAAATAATAAACTACAATTAGTGCACTGGTGACTGGACTGTGGCCCTGGCCCTAAGAAGATTTGATTTCTCTAAGAAGGCTGCAGCTTGTGAACCAGAGGAGATTACCTTATTACTCTTCCTCTTCGTCTTTGACCAGCCAGGGCCCGATAGACAGCGTCTAACATTTCAAAATAAAACTTTCTTTAATAAAACATATATTTACAACTAACTCAAGCTTTAGATGGCGGTGGGCGGTCAAGAGTTGGTGACGTCTCCTCCTTGAGATGAGACGTTCAGGCAACTAATGTCAAATTAAGCAGAGGTGTGCTACCAAAGTTGAACAATTAATTGAAGCAGCTAGGGGTTGGAATGCCCCAAAACCCCAAAAAATCTAGAACAATGTTTATTCTAGTTTTATTCAGCAACATGATGATCTTTTAGTGAAAAAATCTTATAAAAGTGTTCAAGACTTGTAAAAACTAACCTGATTGAGCGAGAAAACAGGGTATTTTGATGTCAGAATGTCCACATCGAGGTTTCACTGGACTATCCACCTCCTTATTGCATCTCACCTTCTTACAATCTTTGAAACATTTGTCAGGACACGGGTGACCACAACTAAGTTTGCGTTGACAATTTTCTTTGCACACCCGTTTGTCCGTACCTTCGTTGCACTTAATCTTAGTCATGATGTGTCCACAGGGAGCCAATTTATCGACCTAAGCATAAAAACCGTCTCAGAATACAGAATGTGACGTAAATACTTTAACAGGTTTAAATCAGAGCATATAAATTGAGCAAGATGCAGTACATTGTACTACCACAAGTGATCAAGTGATTACTCGCTTGTACATTTATTTAATGAATTGGATGTAGTCAATTTTAAGGCATTATGAACGGAATCTCAGAGGTATCTATTAATATCTACTAATCGTTTATCATTATCTAAATAAAATTATAATTCAAGGACATCAAACAAGTTTATGGATTGACAAATGAATAAAAAGTCTACTCGCAATACGCATTGCCAATAATATCACCTCCGAAATCAGTGTAATTTGTACAAAATAAATTAAATGAATAAATTATGTCTGTCTGCATACTGTTTGTAAGAAGACATAAAATAAAATCCCATAGACGAATGACAACTCGGAAAAGCAAACTAATGTTTCTCATGTCAAACAATCAATCTGTGGATTTCACTTCAAGGGTCATCAAAACCTAGACTTTTCACCTAACATAAAATCTATTCTTGTACAAGGAGATCGGTTATGATAAATACCCTTACCAATTCATTACAATGATTGGGGTCACACTCCACCCAGCAGAGCGCTTTACACTTGTGACCGCATGTCATGGTTCTTTTACAATGTCTTTTACATTGGAAGGTATTCGGGTCAGAGCTGCAGGGTATCTCATAGTGATGTCCGCAAGGTAGTGTTGTAGGCATCAGCACTAAGCAATCTCCACAATCCTCGTAACATCGCTTCTTGCACTTGTGCAACTTTTTGGCACAGCCAGTAAACTCTTTGGCACAATCCTTGAAACAATTGTACTGCAACAAGGATACACAAACTGGTAAGCTATTTTAAATAAACAACATCAGCAAACTGACACATACTTTCTACCAAAGCTTGACATTAAAATTGAACATCCTACTTGTTTTGTAAGCAAAACAATCAAAATGGGTAAGTGGAGAGGGGATAACTATGGAGATTTATGGGAAAATAAAAATGAATTGTAATAAATTTTGATTGCTACATCATGTAATATTGAAACGTTAAAAGCAGTCTATTATGCATTAATTCATTCACATATTGCCTATGGTGTCTGTGTCTATGGATCTACCACAAAAAAAAAAAAAAAAAAAAAAAAACATGGACAGAGTTTTGCACCAGCAAAAAGGGCATAGAGGATAATGTTGAATTTAAGATCAACGGCCTTGGTAAGGCAAGTCTTTAAATTTGTATACATAAATTATTCACAGTCTACAGTCTTTTCATTTATGAGTCAATTAAATTGGTTTTGACGAATGATAAAATTGCAATAGGTAACCATATTCATAAAGATGACACCAATTGGTAGAGCAGCACAATTTGGAATTTTAAAAGAAAAAAACTAGTTATTTAGGAAACAAATTTTTACATCACCTTCCAGAAACTTTAAAATTGGAGACAAATCCAAATAAATTTTTAAAATCATTAAAAAGATTTTTAATTGAATCTGCATTTTACTCCATTCAAGAATTTTTTTGTAATTGAAAATCACTAAAAAACTAAAACATTTACGTATCTCCATTGATTTGTTCTATGTTTGTTTTCTATACTTTAATTTTTATTTGATGTATTAATCAGCTGGACTTATCCTTATATATAATACGTGAAGGCGATTTCTACGAAACACTACTCCTCCGTTAATAATGGACGGATTTTTACAAACGACGTGTCAAAATAAAGTATTTTTTGTTTAGACTCCCCCTTTCACCAATTCATGTAATAAAAATCCTCAGGCTTTGCCCCACAGGCCATCAAAGTTAGAATTTCTCTCATAAGATTAACATGGGGGAATCTTGGAATCTAAATATTTAATTGGAAACTTTGTCCTTACTAATTTGAGAGAACGGCTGGGCGTAGAAACTTGGTAGAGGTGTCCAAAGAAAGGTCTTGGTCTGTAGATGAGTTATCAAAAGAAAAACTAAGCAAAATCCCTTAGGACTCTGCCCCAGAAGCCTTTGAAGATCCCTCCACAGAGTTGTTTACATTTTGGCCATGTGAATGATACTTTTTAATGAAACAGCTGTTCATTTTGTATTTCAAACAACACATATTTATTGGGAGTTACTGAATTCTACCAAATAAGTATTTGCAATGTTATTTTCTGATTTTAAAATTGATTTTCTTCTTATCATGTCATGTTTTGCAATATAACGTTCCATTATGAAATCTGTGGAAAATCCTTTTATCGCAGCAATTCTTAAATAATTTCTTATTGAAATATCTTATATCTATTGTACGGGTTGGTGTCTGCCTTTTTCACCACTTTTGCCTACATTTTATCATATTATCCTACACATATCAAATATTTATGTAGAAATATCTGCTCTTATCGTGTCTAATAAAATCCAAACATAGATACCTTGCCTAAAATGCTAACCATCTTGAAAAATTATTTGCACCTGCCTATATTACGAACTTTGGCACACTGGGTTGGTAACATTATAGAAAATAACACGACATTTTGGCTGTAAAATATGGTACAAAGAGAAAATACTATTTAAGCAGCTACTGTCATGACAGAAAGGTCATATTCCTTTTAAACTAGATCACATAATCCTTTATAAGATACGTTGATTAACAATAATATGTAAACGTCAATATATACGTAACAGCCAATTTACAGTATTTTTGCTTTTTGGAAATGTCCCATTGCTATGTCATTTGCATTATTTGTTGCCATTGAAGCTGCCAAGACCATACAAACTAGGAGGCCCCCAACAGTTCAAGAATAAAAGCCAACTTCACTTCAAGTATTCCACTACACCTAACATTCCGTAGAGAGATTATATTGACAACTTTATGTTATTGATAAGGCTGAGACAACTAACTGACATCCTGCATGTCAAGGAATTCCAGCTTTAACAGTAACCCCACAACCAATTTCTCAAAACTATGCTAGAGGATTCATTCATTGGCACAGAAGTACGATATGAACTGACGCGACGTGACGAAGGAAAAATCAAACTTACACTGTAACGGATATACCTCCCTTTGAAGTTAGAATATATCTTCCCAAAAAAATTTTATTTTCAAATAAAATCATATTACACTGATGAAATCACGGAAGTGTTTAACTACAAAAGATCCGCCAATACGATTTTAATACTATTTAAAGGTTCTTCCAAAGGAAGAGATACCATATAAGATACTAATAATAACTCCGATGACGTACGGTATGGGAAATATTTTATTCATTGAATGATGAACCATATTTGGCAACTAACGCATTTAATATCATTATTGTTTTTACACTTATCTATACTTATTTAATACGCAAGCAGGATTTTTGTGACAATTACTCCTCCGAAACTACTGAACCGATTGACATGTTTTTGGTGTCATTGGAAAGAGCGTTTTAACGTGAAGCTGTACAGGAAACTTTCTTTTTAGACAAATAATTAGAGAGTGAGGCCCTAGGGCCCTTTAAAGTTTCGTATTTCTCCATAAGATAAACATGGGAAACAAACATTGTTTTGAAACTCCAGCTGTTGTCAGAAATTAAATATTAATAATTGGTCTCCATGGAAGCATGAGAAAATTCACAATGTTTACATTTGCTTTGACATTTAAATGTAAACAATCAGAACCGTCAAATGCCTATTTAAAAAAAAAATCAGACAGCTGATCCAAAAAAAATAACTATGTGGTAGATCTATTTAATTACTTTATGATGGATTATTTATTATAATTTGATTTCAATGATTATGAAACAGATTTTTCCCGTTGCGAAGCAAAAATTAATAGTTTGAAGAAGAACATATGTTAATTGTAAACAGTCAATGTGTAAATTATCTATGTTGTATTAAAAATGTGTATAGTTTTGGATGTTGGTTTGTAATGATATAAGTTAATTAGTTATGGAATTTCTTTTCAAGGATTTGGCATATGATAAATAACACCATTTCAGAGTTCTGCCAGTTTTTCCCTATCTCTGGCCTGTAGAGTTTAAAGTAGTCTACACCTTATTGTCTACAAATTGGCTAAATAACAAAAATAAATTAAATAAATTTATGTGGAGTTGTTTTAAAGGCACGGTATTTTATAAAAAAGCTGACAGCCTTTTTACGTTGACTTAAATTGTAAGCTAACTTTTACCCGTCCATGGGCAGTTTGATTGTTAAAAATTATACCTTTAAACTGGAATAGGACTGTTATGTAAATTCAAATTGTGAGTATTTCCATTAGTTAATAATCTTTTAGTTGACTCTTTTAAAATCATGGGAAATTATGACTGTTATTAGTTTTTAAACAAGTTATTTGTTTATAAATAACTACTGTACTTCTTTGCAATTGCTCGATTTCGAGCAACATGTACCCTAGTTACTCTTTAAACAATGCTAAATGCTCAAAATATGTGTATTTCACCTAATTAATCGCAGTTATTTGAATTAACATAAGCCTTGAAAGTAACCGCCGATTTCGACGGTAAATAATAAAGCAGCTGGACTTATTATTATTTAAAGAAAGGAAAATCAATTTGAAGGTCAATAATTGTTATATATATTCTGTTTTGACTACTGTAAAATCCCTAGTTTTAGCGATCTAGATAAGAAAACTTATGTTGACACAATTTCATGTACCAATCTGTATATTTTATGAAATAAAGAATTTGATTGATTGATTGATTGAACCCTAAAACTTACAGTGTTCAGGGAGGTATTGAAAATTTGGTCAAAAACAATACTTTATCCTCCTAATCTATGTATTTGAGGGAGAAAGTACAAATATACCTATAGTGTTTCTGTGGTCACTTTAGGCTGGTATTTTAACCTATTTGTACCAATTTAAGGTGGAAATGGAGATGAGGAAATAGTTATTTAAAAATAGATTCAGTATATGGTACAGTAATAAATACAGTATATGGTAGGGATGTACCGCTCCCGAATTTTTGTGAAGTATTCAGGGAAAAAATATTTCTGATTGTAAGGAGGGGATTTTATTTGATTTGGGATTTTCTCTAGACGGGATTGGATCTGATCCTCCACGATTTTTCTGCGTCACAGGAAACAATTATGTCTCTGCTGGAGAGAGATGTTCACAATGATTCCGTGAACCTAAGAGGCGATGACAATGTCTCCGTGATTCTGGGAGATCTTTAAGATGGCTCCGTGAACGTGGGACATATTAACAATCGCACCATGACCGCGATTTTTGTAAAATAAACCTATACCATACAATAAAACTATACTCTATTTTAGAGTACTCGTTCTTTAAAACTGAACACATATCAAACTTTAAAGAGCACATTGATTATTTTTATTATATTATTTAGGTAATTGTTTGCCCTAGTTTTGATAAATTACATTTGCTTTTTGGTACTTTTTGTTAATGTCATTGTTTTATGTAACATAAGCAAGTTATTCTCATAACATTTATTGAGCAATTATAAGCCCCAATATAGTTGAAGAAGGATTATCCAATAAAAAACAGTTAGTTTACTTATCAAGTTCTTAAATGCAAAATTACAGTTCTCTAAAACAAAAATCCTAGCAAAGAAAAAAATGCATTGAGTAAATTAACTTTTAAAATATGATTTCCACGACAATGTATATTTTACCTGTAGGTGATCGGGGTCATCGTTGACATGGCAATTGCGGTTGCAGGCATGACCACACGGCAGCCTGAATGAGCAGTTATTGGTACACCTGCAGTGGTTTACGTCCAAGTAGCAGAATTTGGTTATTTCATGGTTACATGCCGGATGTATGGCAGGCACTATCTCCAGGCACTTGTGATTTGCCGGTTCCTGATGGCATCTGCAAGCCAATGTTTCATTGTAGCAAAGTAATTAAGTTTCTAACACCAGAAACTTACTGGGTAGAAAGTGGAGGTGCAGTAATATCCTTGAGTGATTACTCTTAGAAGTAGAGGAGATAAATTGAACCAATACCTAAATGTGTTTATTTGGGAGTGGTCACAATTAGTTACTGGTGAACTGGTGATGATTTGTTTTTGCGAATTGGAAGGGCAATAGAGGGGCATGTACCATGTGGTCAAGAGTGATTTGTCTGTTAGGGAAGCTGAAATATGCTGTTACTGAGAGATATTTGATTAATGTGTACCATACACCTTTTCATAGCCATATTACCAATAGTGTTGTATTATGGGGACACTCGCCAGTATGTTCCAAAATCCTCAGCCGCAAGAGTGAATGACATCCCCGCTTGTAGACTTTCAAAAACTGTACATAGCTTTTCTTTCAGTATCTGTGATCTAATATTTCTATAGCCTACCAGAGGAGATTAGACAGCTGGATAAATCCCAGGTGAAATAAAGAATTCACAAAAGGCTTATATACAGGGCAATACTGGGTGTTTATGCAAGGGGAAAAGTGCCGGTCAACCACACACATCTGAAGAGGCAGTTCAACAGATTCGGGAAAAGTTCCAACGGAGCCCGCGAACGTCAACACGGTGTGCAAGCCGAGAACTTGGAGTAGCTCAGACTACTGTGTGGCGTGTGTTAAGGCGGCGTTTGGCCTTAAGACCATACCGATTGCAGCACAAGTGCTCCGGTGAAGACATGGAGGAGGATACCTTTTTGCCACGGTTGATATTCAGTGATGAGGCCACATTTCATGTGAGCGGTAAAGTTAATTGACATAATGTTCTTACATGGGGAACTGAAAACCCCCATCAAACAGTGGAGCATGAACAAGATTCGCCTAAAGTGAACGTTTTTTGTGTGGTTTCACAAACAAAGGTTTATGGACCCTACTTTTTTTTAGGAAAACATAGTGAATGCTGCATCATGCCTAGCAATGCTACGAAATTGGTTATTACCTCAACTAATTCCTGACTCGGACAACTTCATCTTTCAACAAGATGGAGCACCACCACAATGGCCATTTCCTCAACACCAACTTGCCTCAATGTTGGATAGGACGCACAGGACCACAAGACTTGGCTATGCATTCCTGGCCTCCATGGTCCCCTGACATAATCGTGTGATTTTTTCCTGTGGGGATACTTTAAAGATTGTGTTTTTGATCCTCCCTTAGCACGTGATATTGAGGAGCTGAAGATCAGGATAACTGATGCAGTAGCTACTATCCGAGAAGACATCTTGCGAACAGTCTGGGATGGATTTGCCCACCGTCTAGATGTCATCTGAGCCTCAAATGGAGGGCACATAGAACACTTGTAATACATCATCATAAACTTGATGCTTTTGTATAATTTGAGGTAAAACTGGTTTGTGTGTACCGTTTTGTTTAAATAAATATAACTGTTTGACATTGAGTCATTCTTTTTTAATCATCCTGTATACAGTTTTAGAAAATGCGAAGAAACCTGACACAATCAATCTGGAATATCCAATTATAAATGAAGACATCAAGGATCAAGTAAGTGTCATAACCATTGAGAAAACAGCTAGGAAATATTCATTGGTGTAGGTTGGTATCAGTTAAACTATGTTAATTCAGTGTTCTATTGATTTTAAACCATCAAACATTTAAATTCAGTGTAATGATTTATTGACCTTAGGTAAGGAGTAAGGAATGATGAGATGGGCAGACATATCTTAACAAAGAAGAACACTCTTTACTGAAACTGGAGAACAACCCTGAAGGGGAAGACACCTTGCTAGACCGAAACTGAAATGTTGGGACCAAGTAGAAAAGGACCTAAGATAACTGGGAAGAAGGAAGGAGGACGTAAGATGTGAAGCAGTGTGTTTGGGTAGGTCCAAGTACCATTTAGGGTACCAGTGGCCACAGTAGGAAGTAAGTAATGATTTTATTCACAAGGTTTCCTTTATTGCTGAGAAACCAGTCTGGCAGATGAGAAAAAACCCTAAACTGTTTCTAAGGTAAACAAACGGTTGCTTTCACATATTGTACAGTATTTAAAACGGACCTCTACATAGTTAATTTGTTATAACACTTAGTTATGGGTTCAAGGGATAGGGTGAAACTGTCTACGACTCCTTAATCAATTGGTGTTCAACCAGATTAATTTAAGAGTTTTATTTTGTATGGTTATTCACAACCACACCATTGGCATTTTGTGTGTTTTTAAGGGAATAGTCCAAACCCTGGTCTTTGAACTCATATGTATAAATCATTTTAGTACCTATTTTTTAATTTGATGAGGAAATGTTCAACAAGATAAAATACTCACGCGAGAGTGGCTGTGTGGCCACAAGGCAGCAGTTTTTCCACAGATATAATGCAAGGTTCACAGTTCCTCCAACACTTCAAAGGACACTTGTGTCCTTCCACGTCACACGGAGGTCTGAAATAAATGTGTGAAGGATTTCAGTGAGAAGCAGACAGACAAGATTGTGATTACTTTAATCATTCCACAATCAGTGTGCCTAACTAGCTGTTTAATATTAAGAAGGTGTTTACATTACATCTTCACTAGTTTTTACGACAATAACAATCAGCAACACTTATTAGGCCTTGAAACTTATTTGATAGTCATACATAGAAAAAAAAACTGCTAATTATGAGCACCTCCGTTATTAGTATCCTCAATCCTACCAAATTCTATATTACGTTATTATTAGTTTTTTTTTTAACCTTTTCAAAATGTTTTAGAGAAGAATTGGAAAATTCTATGTTTTGAGAGTCAAAAATGAGAAAAACTAATTTTTACCCCATACAACCCTGTTCCCATCGTCCAATGCTCGTTTCTTACTAGAGTTACTGTGCTAACGCACATTTATATGAATAATATAATAGATTAGTATATAGCCTATATAAATTAAAATTCGCACGGATGGTGTTTTTGGCCTCTGGGATTATCAAAACAAAAAGAAAAGGTAAAGTAGGTCTTACCATTAGACCTACGGTAATAGCTTATTCCCTATATTGGAAATTCCCTAAAAACAAAAATATTTGGACATAATAAATGTTTTGGATAGTTGTTATATTGCTTTCTATATTAAACTTTAAATTCAGGTCTAAATCATTTCAAATATGTAACCTCTGAGATGAGCCCAATAAAAGGATAAACTAAACATTCATCTTCTGAATTTTGATTCTGAAGCATGTAAGGTACCAAATTTTAAGGGGGGTAAAAACGTACTACGAATAAATGAACATCAGAACTTACCCGATTTTTAACCACAATAGCCTACTCCGAGGCCTATGTGTTGGCCATAGCTTGGGCTATGGGCCAAAGAACGTAGGCCTATTTTTATTCACAGTGAAGTACACAAACACATCCACAACTACATATTTATTCACAATAGCACTTCGTTTCACATAATAAAGTTAAACCGGCCGATTTTAGCCATGTCTTTAGCCAGATAGTTTACAGTTTATTACGAGTATTTAAATCACATCGGCTTAAGATTGGATACTCGTCGGCCCTACAGAGACAATCCAAAAGTTAGGCAAAATTTACCAAAACACTTTTACGAAGGCTGGGATGATATAGCTCCAACTGGGCGTCTGCAGGATTTCCTGAGCGCTTCTAGAGCTCTGAGCCTTTGATTAAATTTTAAATCAATTGATCAGTCAAAGCCGTAACAACTTCGTATCGACCCCTGGATTTTTCTCGGCTCCTTCTGAGCACTCCGGGGAAGAAATTTGAGTGTGGCCGGTTCTAGGGGTAGGCCTAGCCTGACTTGGTGAATTCTAGTTTATTCCTGTCGCATCCGAACCTGGATGCGAGCGAAGGAGGATCGGGTACTCGAAATAATTAACACATTTTATGTTAAGAAAAACCGCATTGGTGTGCGGGAGCCGGTAAGGTAGGACGATGACTGTTGTACAGAGAGTGTCGGGTGATCGAGGTAGCAGTGGGAACGGAAGGTGGTGTGATGGAAACAACCAATGGGGTTAGTTTATTCGATCAGGCCATATGACGTCACATCGTACGATATCTAACGGTACATGGATCGAGCTAGCAAATTTAATACTTGTAATATTTGAATCTGAATTAGAAATATATAATTCATTTTATAATTAAATTAATACACCACATTTCCTCCGCCCTTACTTTTGAACATAGCTTGTATAAAACTTTTATGGAAAAATGTATACACACAAATTGAAAACATCAGTAATGAAAATAAAAACACAATTTGAAAACATCAGAGTTAAAAACAACATTAAAGATTGTAAACATCGGTGCTGAAAATAAACACAAAAATATTGAAACATCAGTGCTGAAAATAAACACAATAGAATTGCAAACAAGCGTAAATATAAAACCATAACAAACAATTACAAATCCATTTTCTTTGGAGGATTCCTATCCCGTTGTGGATATCGTCTAGTATTAGTTGTAACAGGTGACGTAGCAGTCAGCTGATCGGGTTGTAAAGAATGGCGTTTTGCAACAATAGGACTATGCCGCTCGGACTGGCGTGTAGTTGGTGAGTGACGCGTAGTAGTGGGGGAACTCAGCTGTTGAGGCTGGGTGTGCTGGTGGGGCGGCCTGGCTGGTGACGACACCGGTGCTGACGATACACAGGAAGTAGTAACAGCTGATGTTGACGTCACGGGATCGTAGTATCTGCTATGTTCCGTGTTGATGTTGCTGCCTGATTGCAAGCCTACCAGCTGATCTATGTGTCGCTTCCAAGTTAAGCCTGTCTCTAGTTGTACAATGTATGTTACTGGCCCTAGTCGTCTAACAACCGTACATTCAACCCACTTATCCTTCCCTCTATAGTCTCTTGCTAGTACACATTGTCCTATAGCTAATTGTCTAGTATGAGTACCCCTTGCATTTATGATCTGTTTCTCTTGTTTTTGAGCAACAGTTGACTGAATGTTTGGTCTGATTAAATCTAACCTAGTTCTTAATGGTCGATTAAACATAAGTTTGGCGGGAGATTCACAAGTGGTACTATGGACTGTGTTACGATAAGAGATAAGAAATCTACTTAAAGCTATATTTACATCCTCATTTTCAAAGATTGCACATTTTAATCTTTTCTTTACTGATTTTACCGCGTTCTCAGCTTGGCCATTAGAAGCTGGATGGTAAGGTGGAGTCAAGATTTGTCTTATTCCATTCTGTTTCAAAAATTTTGAAAATTCCTCAGAACAAAAAGGTGGACCATTATCACTAACTATTATTTCTGGTAAGCCAAATCTACAAAACATAGGCCTGAGTTTGTCAATGGTCTGTTTGGCTGAAGTGGAACTAACAAGTTCTACCTCAATCCATTTACTATGGGCGTCTAGTACAATTAAATATATTTGTCCTTTTAATGGTCCAAGGAAATCGACATGAATTCTTTGCCAAACATTGGGAGGAAATTCCCATACATGAAGTTTACTTTTAACAGGAGATTCCCGCTGTGCAAGACACGCTGAGCAACTGTTAGTCACGGCCTCAATATCCTTATCAATAGAAGGCCACCATAAATACGACCTGGCTAACGACTTCATTTTTACAACTCCTAGATGTCCATTATGTAATTCTTTTAATAAAGCCCCTCTTAATGATTTTGGAATGACTACTCTATAGCCCCACATTAGTATTCCGTGTTCAACTGTTAGCTCAGCTTGCCTTTTGACATAGTCACTTAGATTAACGTCCGAATTGATTGGCCAGCCGTACAAAACATATCCAAGGATTCTGTTTAACTCACTGTCTTTTTGAGTTTCCTTACGCACATCATTAAAATCTATTGGTACATCGCACTCTGATATACATTGGAGATATGTTCCTAAATAATCAATATTTACATTACTGTCTTCCCTGTCATTACAATTTAGCGGAAGTCTAGACAATCCGTCCGCGTTACCATGATTTTGTGACTTAACATAATTAATGTCGTAATCGTAACCTGACAAAAATAACGCGTAGCGTTGTAGTCTGCCAGCTGCAAATGCTGGTAACCCTTTTTTCGAACCAAATATAGCTAATAGTGGTTTATGGTCTGTACAAAGAGTGAACTTCCTGCCCCATAAATACTGATTGAATTTATTTACACAGAAAACAATGCTTAGTGCCTCTTTGTCTATTTGAGAATAGTTCCTTTCTGCTGAGTTTAGTACTCTACTTGTGAATGAAATTGGTCTTTCCATTCCATTTTTGTCAACAATGCTTAACACTCCTGCGATACCGTAGGGTGACGCATCACATGACAATTTAATTGGCAAGTCTGGGTTGTAGTGCGCTAGCACATTAGCTGAAACTAATCTTTCTTTTATAGCTTCAAACGCCTTTTGACATGACAAAGACCATTTAAAAACTACGTCTTTCCTTAATAATTGATACAAGGGTGTTAGAATGGTAGCAACATTTGGTACAAACTTTGCATAGTAATTAACTAGACCTAGAAAACCCTTGAGCTGTGTAACATCTTTTGGAACTGGTGCCTCTACAATGGCTTTGACTTTATCTTTGGATGTGGCAAGACCCTCTTGGCTAATTACGTACCCTAAGTACTCTAAGCTATCACTGAAAAATTGACATTTATCTTTACTAACAGTTAACCCTGTTGTCTTTAGCCTACTACACACTTCTCTTAGTCTCGACAGGTGTTCAGCTGTGTCAGCTCCGGTAACAATAATGTCATCAAGAAATGACGCTACACCCGGGATACCTTGTAGTGTTTGCTCAATTACCCGTTGAAAAATACCTGGGGCAGAAGATATTCCGTAACAAAGTCGGTTATATGCAAATAACCCCTTGTGTGTACTTATGGTACAAAGTTTCTTACTTTCATCGTCTAACCTAAGTTGCATATAGGCTGATGATAAATCTATTTTAGAAAATTGTTTTCCTTTCTGTAAGATTGCAAAAAGATCTTCAATGCGAGGTATAGGATGTCTATCTACTTCTAGATATGGATTTAAGGTAACTTTGAAGTCACCGCAAATGCGTATTTTGCCATTACGTTTTAGTACGGGAACAATAGGTGTACCCCAATCACTAGTTGAAACAGTGGAAATGATACCATCGTCAACTAAACATTGTAATTCCTGTTCTACTTTGTCTTTTAAAGAATAAGGTATAGGTCTTGGTTTGTAATACTTAGGTACTACATTTGATTTGAGCTTTAACTTAACAGGATCTCCATTGTAACAGCCTAGCTTAGTGGTAAATACCTCTGGAAATTCGTTTAATAAATCTCGCACAACTTTAGACTCATTACCTGATTCTACTTTTACTTCATTTGAAGTCGACATTACACTATTTACATTGTTGGGGATACTAACAACAATTTGGAGATCTTTAATCCAATCCCGACCAATTAGAGGATTAGCACCGTTGCTTATAACATACAATGATAGGCATTTTTCTACTGATTTGTACTTAACATTAACATTGATTTTACCTACAGGTTTGATTTTTTCATGAGTGTAGGAACTCAGAACTAGATCTGTGGGGTTTAGTTTTACATCACTTAAGTGCTTATTGTAAAATTGTTCCGAAACAACAGAAACACAAGCACCTGAATCTACTTCAAATCTCATTTGTTTACCTTGTACTTGCAAATCTATTTGAATAGGTTCAATTTTGTTGACCATACCCTGATTTACATTAACAGTCAGTTCACTGTCAGTTTAAAAAATATTAGAAATGTCATATACCTCATCATTTACAACTTTATCGTTATTTTTAGATTCATCTACTTCCACATAATATTGTTTATGTTGGTATCTGTTACCCTGAGTATTTTTGGAGTAATTAACCTTGGCATTTGAACTATTTTTAGAGGAAGAATGATAGGACTTACCCCTCTTTTTTGATTTACATGCCTTCTCCAAATGACCCTTTTTTCTACAAAAATTGCACACGTATTCACGAAAATAGCACTGGTGCGTTAAATGACCCTTTTTTCCACAACAATAGCACTCTGTAGATTGCACAACACTTGGAACGGCACTTGATTGTTTGCTGCGTTGAGGTCGTTGCGCTGAGGAGAATCTCTGAAGCCTCATCGCTGTCCCCGTGCTGCCGCTGCCGCCGTGGTACGTCAGGGATGCTGCGTCCTTCTCTGCTGTCTCTAGCGATGTCGCCAGCTGCTCCGCCTTGGTAAACGTCAGGTTGTCCTCCGCCAGTAGTCTCTTCTTAATCGAATTATTCCGAATACCGCTCACTAATCGGTCCCTGAGATAGTCCGGTAACTTGTCCTCGAACTGGCAATGCTTTGATAATTGCTTTAAATGAACGATGTATTCCGAAATAGTCTCGTGTTCCAGTTGGTCGCGCTTGCTGAATTTATACCTCTCCGTGATAAACGAGGGTTTAGGATGAAGATGATCCTGTAGCACTTTCACAATGTCCTTAAACGACTTCTCCGATGGTTTTTCAGGCGTAATTAAGTCTTTCAGCAGATTGTACGATTTAACTCCGATTACTGTTAGAAACGCACTTACTTTCTTGTCGTCCGAAATTCCATTACACTTTATGTAAAGTTCAAAACGTTCCACGTATGTAGACCACGTCTCCTCCGAACTGTCGAACGGCCCGAAATTTCCGATGACACTCATTGTAGTAACTTCTTCTTCTATCAACGTTAATTTACCGAACGCGGTGTAAAAATTGCCGTCTAGTGGCATGTAACGTACCGAAACAATGGCACTGCACTGTAAAACGCGCTTCCTTTATCCACACAGTAGGTTGTCGCACTCGTCGCCATTGTCGCATCCGAACCTGGATGCGAGCGAAGGAGGATCGGGTACTCGAAATAATTAACACATTTTATGTTAAGAAAAACTGCATTGGTGTGCGGGAGCCGGTAAGGTAGGACGATGACTGTTGTACAGAGAGTGTCGGGTGATCGAGGTAGCAGTGGGAACGGAAGGTGGTGTGATGGAAACAACCAATGGGGTTAGTTTATTCGATCAGGCCATATGACGTCACATCGTACGATATCTAACGGTACATGGATCGAGCTAGCAAATTTAATACTTGTAATATTTGAATCTGAATTAGAAATATATAATTCATTTTATAATTAAATTAATACACCACGATTCCCCCCCTAGAATTTTGCGTCACAAGCATTTTAAAATTCTTCATTAAACCTTTGAAAGTTTATTTTTTACAATTACATAAAATTGATTTTCAACTTATATGAAGCAAAAAATCAGTAATAGTATAATAAGGCCTGTTTTCCTCGATAAAAAGCTTGGAGAGGTATAAATCTTAACAAAGAGAGGGTAATGTACCTTTCACATTTCTGTTGACACTTGTACAGGCAGTGGTCCTTGTCGATGATGTGACAAATCCGAGGACAGATGTGACCGCAGTTGGGGAGAACAGAGTTGCATTTGAGCCTACAGCCACCGTCCGGCACTGCCTTGAAGTCATTGGCATGGGATACCTCAGTCAGTTGCTCTGGATGCCTCTCACACCGCAGCAACAGTCTTTGACCTACAAGAAAAAATGTACCTTATAAGTAAATCTCATGGGGAGGGACCTTTGAGACAAACTTTAATAAAACTCCAATCTATAAAATCTATAAGGGAAAGGTCACTTTTCAACCTTTGCAACCACAACTATAAAGAAACGTTTAAGTCACTAAAGCTCTTAACGGTTATAAATCCCTATATTACCTCTGCAGTGGGGTCGGGTACAAATATAACCAAGACCTTACAGGCGCTACAAGATTTTTTAGTCTCTAAGCGCAGTGGATTTGAAACAAACTGAAACAACTTCGAGATTGGGTAGTAGAGAGCTGGTTTATTCAATGGATGAGATTTTTACGCAATAGTACTTAAATTTTCATACATATGAACCAGGGACGTACATATGCGACCGCCAGTTTCTGCGACGGCTGGTCACCTGAAATAAAATAGACTGACGTCGCATATTTGTGTCGGTGTCTTAATGTTATTAAAAAGCTTATATCTTTTTAACGGTCTATTTGAAGGCCCCAAATTTTCTTCAGTTCTCTACAGGGATGTCTGTCACATATGTGTGTCACTTGGTCTGTGGATATGATGATTAGTGACGTCATATGATAGTTGGCAAAACTGTTTTTTACTTTGCTGCATCACTGGCCCGTGGTCTACGTGTACTGCGACACCCGGTCTATGTGTGATATTAAAATGTATACCTCGGGCCGAGGCAAAAACCGCACTGTCGCAATATGTGGTGATCAGTAGCGAATGTGTTAAACAACTACTGTGTAAAAAAATTTTACCTCTGTAAAGAAAGAGCAACCTTTAATCTTGTGACGCCATTGTATCTATTTAAGAAATCACAAATTAAGAGAATTGGAAATTGTTTATTGATACTGACCAAAGGCATTGATGGACTCCAGCGTTTGCTTGATCTTTGGCCAGATACTGCTGCTGTTTGTCAAGTTGTCCATGTTTCCCACCACGTACAGACCCTCCTTGGCTCTAGACAGAGCCACACACACTCGGTTCTCTGTGCTCAAGAAGCCGATCTTGTTCTCCCTGTTGCTGCGCACCAGGGACAGCAGAATGATTCTGTTCTCCTCTCCTTGGTAGTTGTCAACCGGGGTGATCCTAACAGCCTTCATGTCTGGCAGAGTGAGCCCCATCTCTTTCTTTTTCTATGAAACAAATAGCTTTTTAATTTGCTAAACTTTGTATTTCTGTTCGTGACATGACATGCCTTTAAATCAGATCTCTTCTTAGAACTATTTACAATTTCCTAACCAATCACGTACAAATTGTTTAGTGATATTACCATAACCATAGTCTCCTCTAATGCAATGTGGCAACCTGCAGCCTACTCACCATAATAATAACAGTAATAACAAATGTGTTACCATCATAAACATTGTGCAGACTGCATAAATTAGTGCTACAGCTGTCTTGGTAGGCTGGAACTGCGGCATTGCCACTTTTGGCAGGCATTAGAGGAACCTATGAGACCTAAAATACAGGGTGTTTAAAAAAGAATCATCCAATTTTGAAAAATCATAGCTACTCATCTATGAATCTGATTTGATCGAACTATATACTGTTAGAAAGAGGAAGTTCTCGAGTTTCACGGGGTTTCTGCCAAGTAGCAGTAGCACGCTTCTGTCAACGCCCAGCTCAGTAGTTGTAAAAATGCCGTAAGAATTAAACACCCTGAAATTTTGTATTTCCCCCATGTTAAATTTTGTATTTTCCCCATGTTATTCCTATGGGGAATGGCATTGAATGAGACCCACTTTGGTATGCTCATCTCTTAGAAACGTGCTAGAGACTTTTGAAATTTGAAAACGGTGTGGAATGTCACCAAAAATTATCCAGAAAATATCCAAAATTCCCATTTTCAAATTTCAACCCCCCGAAAAATCTAAAATGTTGGACATCTGAAAACGACAAAAATATGTTTTTTTTTTAAACCGTTATAACTAGAAAGCAGTAAGAGCTAGCAACGATTTGAAAGAATTTCCATGGGCAGGAATTGATTTTCTACAAGACACTCTTAGGAGTTTTCCGAAAATCGCACCCATTCATCCCAAAAAACCACCTACTATCAAAAAATTGTATTTATTTTCAAATTTTCAATTGTTTTCACAACTTTTTTTACCTAAGTAAATTTGTATTGCAAGTTGCACATATGCTGTCCATCTAAAGGACGCCCTGTTGAGCACCTGTAAATGGTATGTAAAAAAATCGTAATTACTGTAGTTAATTTGTTATACAGGGTGAGTTTCTACTAAGTGCGTTAATTTTTACCAGTTATTCTACTCACTAAAAGGAACAAAAAATGACAAACAATAATTTTCCATCCCCACCCGTTATGCTGTAATGGCCGATTATGTGAATTTTTAAAATTACCTGTAGTAGCTTCACTAAAACGAGCATAGAAATTAAGCCAATACACGTACAGCATAATAACTTATACCAATAAAAAGAGCATTAAATTTCCTACAAAACCATTGCAACACCTGTAACATAAAACCATATTTTCACCGTTGTATGTCTCACATAACATAAAAAAAGAAGTTTCAAAATTAATTCTTTACAACTTCACAGTGGTTTTACAACTATACATACTAATGTGATGTTTTGTCAAATTACGTAAAAAACTTTCCCATTTCATGCCCTTTAAAATGATGTAGCCCATAAGGTTATTGCTGTATTAAAAGTTCGAAAAATTAGGTCAAAACCGCGTCAAGGTCAGAGTTTTCGGAATCAAAACATTGAACCAAATGTAATACAGTATCTGTTAATTTCTTTGCTATCTTATAATCAGCTGACATCTGATCAGCTGGGTGTTAAAACTTTGTTTACAAAACCAGCTGATTGCAATTGTTGGCTTGTAAACATTTAAATTATTAACTATTTCATGAACATACTTGAAAAATATTATAACTGTTTAGTGCTATGTTGGTGTTCACCAACAAAGTGTCTTGATATGATTTTATTTTCCGGGTTCTGTTATCAAATACAGCTGTAATCTGACGTGAATACAGTCGTCAGTTTCCTAATAGGTGACTTTCAAATGAACAAATATTCATCAGTGTCCATACAAGTTTCCGTGGCCACTAAACATAATTCTGTTGGGAACGTGATACAAGATGTGTATTGTGTATGTGTTGTGCTGAGTCAGATGTGTTGGGGTGGTTTGAGGACGGTCCACGGACAAGAACAATGACAGTTTTTAGTGACTTAGGTATTTCTCAGCTATTGAGAAAGGAAAAATTGCATCCCTACCATTTTACACAAGTACAGATTATTGAACCTAGAGATTGTCTACAGAGACTTCAGTTATGTCGCTCTGTTAGTTGACTTGATCATCGTGACTTCCTCAAGTCGATTTTGTGGACAGACGAATCCAAGTTTACTCGGGATTGTATTTACAACATCCATAATGGACATCACTATGCTACAGTAAACCCACATGTGATACACCAGTGTCGAAACCAAACAAGATTTAAGTTGAATAGATTACTCTAAAACCAGTTAGTTGGCCCTTTCATTGATGTTCCATATTCATTAAACTGCTGTCAGTATCTCAACGTCCTTACTGATACTCTACCAAGGCTCATTGAAGACGTCCCGTTGGATGTACGTAAGCGAAAAGTTTAGCAAGCATATGGTGCACCTCCCCACTTCAATAATGGGGTGCGAATTTACATTGGAAATACTTTCCCAATGTGGATTGGAATAGGCGGATCAATTGCTTGGCCACCACAGTCACCAGACTCCAATGGACTACTACGCTTGAGGTTACCTCAAACAGGAAAATTACCGAACACTAGTTCAAACAGCGGATGAGCTAAGAAATCGGACTTAAGCTTCCAACCTTCTTCAAGAGGAGCTAAAATTAAAGGCAACAGTGAGAAACTTTTAGAAAAGACCATATTTATGACCACATGCATTAGAGCAAAAATGGTGGACATTTTGAAAACTTACTTTGATTAAAAATCTAGAAACCAGACTTTACAGGATTCATTTTGTTTATTTGTACAAATGTATTAACCTAGATTTTTATCAAATTTATTTTGAATTTTTGTCATAGATTTATAAAATAATGAAATTGTTAATAATTTAAATGTTTACAAGCCAACAATTGCAATCAGCTGGTTTTGTAAACAAAGTTTAACACCCAGCTGATCAGATGTCAGCTGATTATAAGATAGCAAAGAAATTAACAGATACTGTATTACATTTGGTTCAATGTTTTGATTCCGAAAACTCTGACCTTGACGCGGTTTTGACCTAATTTTTCGAACTTTTAATACAGCAATAACCTTATGGGTTACATCATTTTAAAGGGCATGAAATGGGAAAGTTTTTTTACGTAATTTGACAAAACATCACATTAGTATGTATAGTTGTAAAACCACTGTGAAGTTGTAAAGAATTAATTTTGAAACTTATCTTATAAAAAGATAGGGCATTGCCAGGAATTATTAAGGAAATTGACAGGAAAGCAGGCTTACCTTTAAATAAGTCCATAGAGACACATAAAACATCACAAAATTAAAAGTAGAAATTTTCGTGGTCACTGACCACTTTTTCAACCACTGGAGATTGGAGAAATGGCAAAGGCAGTTGCAATTTGAATCTATTACACCTTGTCCTGAGCCAATCGTCGTCCTCCAGAAGACCAATTGGACAAGGTGTAATAGATTCAAATTGCAACTGCCTTTGCCATTTCTCCAATCTCCAGTGGTTGAAAAAGTGGTCAGTGACCACGAAAATTTCTACTTTTAATTTTGTGATGTTTTATGTGTCTCTATGGACTTATTTAAAGGTAAGCCTGCTTTCCTGTCAATTTCCTTAATAATTTTGAAACTTCTTTTTTTATGTTATGTGAGACATACAACGGTGAAAATATGGTTGTATGTTACAGGTGTTGCAATGGTTTTGTAGGAAATTTAATGCTCTTTTTATTGGTATAAGTTATTATGCTGTACGTGTATTGGCTTAATTTCTATGCTCGTTTTAGTGAAGCTACTACAGGTAATTTTAAAAATTCACATAATCGGCCATTACAGCATAACGAGTGGGGATGGAAAATTTTTGTTTGTCATTTTTTGTTCCTTTTAGTGAGTAGAATAACTGGTAAAAATTAACGCACTTAGTAGAAACTCACCCTGTATAAAATAACCTAGTGTCCATATATAATTATTAGTTTTCAAATTATAAACCTACGAGATCGGATAATTCTTTTTGAAACACCCTGTATGTTACAAGTGTACCTTTAATTGGTACCTTTAATTAAACTATTTCTATGAGTAAGTAAACTTGCTGTTCCACCCAATCACATAGTGCTGATTACATGTTATAGTGTATGTTGTTACTTACCTTGCGCATATACCACACCTGGCCGGTGTATGTCGCTAGTATGGTTATCTCTTCAGGCTTATAGTCATTCAGCAGCAAATATTTGCACAACTCCATCAAAATGTCTGCCTCGTGCGTGTTCTGCTTACTGGACGAGTCTGGCAACTACATAGAACAAACACAGTGATTCATAAAATCTATTATGTTATTAAAGTGATTAGGCCTAAGTCAAATTTCCTAAGATTTTCTTCAAAACTTAACATAAAGACTTAACAAATACCGAAACGCGTAATCCTGTTGGATATTTAAGAACCACTAAAGGCAGTCTGCAGGTATTGTAACCTTCTTATTTTGATTAACATAAAGAGCTGCCCAATTCAAACAACAATAATCAATTCTAAACAGTAGCTGCTTGTGGCGTCATTGTACACAGCGCTCCATTCAGTGTTCGGTTATATACTACATCCCACATACTTACAATAAGTTAGTTAGTTTTAAATTAGACTAACAATGCATATACTATAAATAATTTATACCAACTAGTTCAAATATAAGCCTTCAATTTACAAGACAATACAAACTATAGTTATTAGCGAATTTCCCTATAGGGAAGTAGCTATTACCGTAGGTCTCATGGTAAGACCTAAGCCCGGGACCGATTAACTTTTTCATTTTGATGTCCCCAGAGGCCAAAAACACCATTCGTTCAAATTTTTATATATCTATATATAGAGATATATATATATATATATATGTGTCCATCCGCACGATAACTTGAGTTTGGAAAATACTTTTATTTCTTACTAAACTATTATCATTTTATAAAAAAATCTTTTTTACCCTCCCTGTTGCAGAAAACCTAAGGTACTTGTTAAACTCATTCTATTTAAATAGGAAATAAATGTGCTATTTTTATGGAGGCATTTTAGTGTAAATCCAATCAGGTCAATGGAAATTCGCTTAGTCTGCAGGTTTGCTGCGGCGGGGGTATTTATAACTAGTGTGCGAAGTGGCAATTTGCTGAACATGAGAGAAATGTTATGCACAAGCCCCAAGTGTGGAAAGTTTCTCAAGTGTTATTTATCAACATAAGTCGTTTTCCCCGAGCCTTTAGGTATGATATTTTTTAACTTATTTACGTACCCTGCTTATCTGAGATTGTTTATTGATTGTCTGGAAACATATTAATAGAGAATATTTAATGTCATGCTTGCTGTAGGCCTAGTCATGTATTTGAGTTATTTTTATGGTTATCTATATATTAATTTGAAACTGTTTTTCTTTGTGACAGCTAATTCGAGAGGACGGCTGGGCGTAGAAACTCGGTAGAGGTGTCTAAAGAAAGGGCTTGGTCTGTAGATAAGCCATCAAAAGAGAAACGTGGCAAATTCCCTTGGGGCTCTGCCCCAGTGGCCTTTAAATTTCCATCCCATGTTATTCTTATGGGGGGAAAACGGGTTTTTGTCACAGCTAATTTCAGAGAACGGCTGGGCGTAGAAACTTGGTAGGGGTCTCTAAAGAAAGGTATTGTTCTGTAGATGAGCCATCAAAGAGAAACGAGGTAAATTCCCTTGGGGCTCTGCCCCAGAAGCCTTTAACCCTCCCAGTGTTACTTGACGAAAATTCGACAAGCAGCACACTTTGTGTAGTGTTACTTGTCGATTTTTCGACACGCAGACATCGTTTACGGCGAAGGCTCTATGACTGACTGAATTGGATTGAACTGGATCGAGTTAGGTATCGTTCTTTCCGTAATATTCTAAGCTTTCTCCAGAGGTCTGTCTCTAAGCGCTATTCATTTTAGTTCCGAAAATATTGTAGCAGACAGCTGACGTGCGTGTATTTGTAAACAGCTAGGTTCCCCCGGACCGATGACTGATGTGTTTTATTACGTTTATCATTGTTTTAGTGTTAAAAATCAAAAGTAGTGATATACGTGGTGCATTATAAGAAGATTTAAGTGGTTTTGAAGTGCTGGTTGATGATCCTGAAGAAGTAGGTAGTGATATTGATGTAAATTATCAGCAAGATTCCTAGCTATGGTTAGGCTATGCATTCTTAGCTAAACGCTATGTACTGAAATCAGTTTTTTGCCCATAACTTATTTATTTGCAAATCTACTTCCTTATATTATTATATATTTGTAATCCTCATAAAATTTAGAACAAAGTGGCTATTTTCAAATATTTATAGGCCTATAATTTATACAATTTCATTGAGCGCGAACTTATTTTTTTTTTTGAAAATTTTCGAAATTATATTTTTTTACCTAAAAATTTTTTTTTTTTTTAAATGTTCCTTATGTTTTATATATAATATTGAAGCCCATGATTTTCCAAACAAAATGGTATATAGAACATTAGAATTAACATTGTTTTAAGCTTCTCAGATCCGTTTTAATAAAACCTTGCAAATGCGCCAAAAATAGGTGGACATTAAATTAAGGCCTAAACTATGGACACTTGGAGGGTTAAAGTTGCCTCTTCAGATTTGTTTACATTACGACCATATGCATAATTCTACACTACTTTTTAATGAAACAGCTGTTAATATTTAAATTATTTGTCAAAATGAAGTACAGTATTTGCAATGGGGTTTTCTGATTTTAAAATGGATTTTATTCTGCATCGTGTCATGTTTTGAAATATAATGTTCTATTACCAAATCAGTGGAAAATCCTAATATCACAGTAACTCTTAAAATTATTTCTTTTGGAGTTAACTTATAGCTACTGTATCTATTGGTTTCTGCATTTTTTACCACTTCTTGGAGATTGTACGTACGTGATATTCATTGGCATATTGCATCTATAGACGAAACTTGGGTTGGTGTAATTATTAGAATGGAAAAGAGTGAGAAATCCTGGACAATTTGATATAGGCTAGAAATAAAACTGAATTAACACTGTCCTACATTTCTTGAGTAATCATTGAAATAACCGATTTGCAAACAATGGAAACATAGAAAAAGTCATAGAACACAACCAAGTAGAAGAAATAGAAATGTTTTTTTTTTCATTTATAATCGTTATCATAGACAACCTAATGCGGCTATGAGAGAGAAAAATTTGTAGAAAACATTAAAAAAAACAAGATCAGCTTTTTGAAAAAAGATAAGATATTTATAAAAGATTTTGATTGTATCTAACTGTTGTGTAGAGTGTGAGTATTTCCATAATATTTGAGTCGCCTGTAATGCTTCGCAATTGCTCGAATTCGAGCCACAGGTACACTAGTTGTTTAAATTTGACGACATTTATTGTAACACATGTTATTTAATGAATTATAAAGATTTGATTTGAATAGTAACAGGATTTTTCTCAGTTTAGGCATTTTAAAAAGCACATTTTAATGATTGCCATAAATTTCATAAAATGTGATAGGCCTAGATAAAATAAAATATGAGCCACTTTTATCATCTGACAAAAGAAAACTGGAGATCTCCCAGGGTAGAAATTTTATTGCTTGTTGGTTTTATATTATTAATAGTTACAGCTTATTCACTCTATGCTTATGCTAAGGACTGGACATTTGTTTTGTGTATAGTGCTAAGAAAATACACCAGTGTTATGTTATGAGTATTAAAACACTTAGGGAATATTAAGTTGAGCTGATAATGACGTATCAGATAACAGCTTTATCTGTCAGTGATAAGTGATGACTAACACCAACACTCTTATCTGGTATTGAGTCAAATACTCATTTTCTGTTAAAACCTACACCAATTTATGAAACAGTAAAATATCTTGAAACTAAATACTGAACACTTTATTTATTTTATTACTTTGTTTGAATAGAAAAGGTTTAATTCCTCAAATAGTTAGCACCTAGTTCAAACATCTGCTAATTACCAAAAATGATAACATTAATTTTATCAATTGAAATATTTTAAGTAAGTGGTTCTAGACTTATCAATATTCAAGAGGAAAATCTATACTTACACAAGTTAACATTTGCTTGCTTAATGATTTCAAAAACAGCTCCAACAATTTTGTTCAAATTCGTTGAAATATCTTAGTTTTAGGCCAAAAACAATATTTATGCTAGGCTTTGTTCTGGGAAAATCTGTTTTTCATAAACAACTTCAAATGACATTTTAATAATTTTAGCATTGGCTTTAAGGGTTTTTTAATGATGACAATGATGATAATGTAAACAAACTCACTTATATTGACCTCGAATATCTCTCTCATGGTGGACACTAATTTTTGTCAACATCTGTTATTAGAATGCAACTTTCACATATCTTCCTTACCTGATCTTCCGGCTTGTCGTGGGTGAGGAAGAAGACAAACTTGTCGATGCCTCTGACCTTTGAACGGTTTAGTGTTGAGGGATGATTGGCCAGTTGGGGGTAGATGGTGGGGGAGATGAGTGACGCAATCTCTGGCCTCATCCGATGCTGTTCGTTCAAAACAGAACAACCCAACCCGTTGTTCAACATCCGCTCAAACAAGGAACAGTCCATGTTGTACTTTTTAGCCAGTTTGAAAACAGCTGGGTTGGGTTTCAGTTGTTTGTGGTCACCTGAAAATGGTGTACTACTATCAGAGAAAAATAAAGTAAAAGGGCGTCTTAAAGAAACACAAATTTAGAACAACACAAAACATGTGTCTAATTAGGTACCTTATGCAGTTGGTGTGGAACATAATTAGGCCAAAGCCTAAAAAAACTATTTAAATTTCAAGATTCATAAAAAAAGTGGTTAACAAAAAGGCATAGCTGGAGGTAAAAAATCAAATGACAATATGGTAGAAAATCAGAGACCTTACTAAATTGGGAATAGCCATCAGCGTTATGGGTAACTTTTTGTTTACAATTTTAGACACATCAATTTTCAAAATTTCATCACCAATTACAGAGTGTTTTTGCTGTTGAATTTATTGTGTTGGTGTTGGGTGTTCTATAATTCTTCGTACATTAGAAATTTATTACATTTTTAGTTTGTTCACTTGAATGGTTAATAAAATTTGATAAATTTCAAAGTAAGAAAATTGCACATTTCTTATTGTTTGAGCAGTGTTGTACTTTACAAGAGCTTGAAACTATTATTGTGAGATTAGATAAGATGGCAAAGGAACAGAATAATTGTTATATTTTGTAAACGGTGAATTAGAAGGGTATATTCAAATCTATGACACATTGTTTGTGTATAGTTATTATTAACTATCTAGTTTCAAATATGAGTCCAGAGTCAATCGTAGGTTGCAACATAACTAACTTAAATAGATCTAAATATATATTTAATCAAACTTCTACAGTTAGTTTTCCACTTCATATCAAGGTGCATATTATTATCAACTCACTATGCAAGTTAGTTATGAGGTAGAAATAAAATGATAACAGTTTCAGATGAGAGAGAGACCAAACCTTTTTTCATATAATTGGACATACAGCTGAACTACAACTTCATCACTGGTAATAGGAAGGATTTGAACTGGGCAGACTTTTGATACTTACCAATCAGTATGACATGTTGGACACTTGGGGCAAGAGATGTGACTATATGCGCTTCCAACACCTCTGCGGCTTCCTCCACTATCACTGTAAATGTTCAAACAATCCATAGAATTAACATAATACAGTTTTTACCATTCTACACAGTAAGCAGTCTTTTCTGTACTTTCTGTAGACCAGAAGTTCATTGTTTACAGAAAGTGAAGGGTAAAGCCAGCTGGAGTACCATAAATTTACCGATTACTCTGACATACACATGACATTGTTCAAAGGCATAATATGAGCTTCTCCAGTAGGCTCTACAGGTTTGGTCAAGCATATTGCACTTTCACAAATATCGCAAAGGTTTAAAAACATTACCTTTAAAGTAAACCCTCTGTCGGTCGCACCTAAATAATTATCAGAAGGGTCCCACTGTAGGTATCTAATTGAGACAGTTAACTTTAATTGTACATATTGTTTTCATGTCTTTGCAATGATTGATTTGACTGCAATAATATTTTAATGTTCTATGACTAATTGATTTGTATTTGGAATATTATAATTAAGAATCTAGTTTAATTCTTTACAATCAGATTGTTTTTGTATGACATGTTTCTGTATATTGAACAGTGTTGTCATTGTATGGGTTGTGTTTCACTTATCCAGTATATCTGTTGCAGGAAGTGTGGCAAAAAGTAAAGTTTTCAAGTCATACGGGAAGGTGTTTACAGTACTCGCATGAAATCCTCTTTTTAACACGTTCACTGCGTTGCATATTTTCCACCATTATTCCAATGGTGCGTTACGAGATCTATAGGTCTCGTCCGCTATGATTACCCAGGTGCGATACGAGACCCCGAGATTACGTTGCGCAGTAATCTTTTGCGCATCATAACCTCGTAAAGAAAGGCAAGAGAGCGCTGAGTGTTTGTTTATCTGAACCAGTACAATGTTGACAATCTTCAGCCAGCCCAGGAAGTAAATGACGTCATTGTACGAGACCCCGAGATCTCGTACCGCACAGCTGTAATAGTTCATTGTTTATTTGTATTTATTCTTTTCCTACAATAACAAATTAAGAAAAATATATGTTACCTGTTTATTTACGAATTCCCTATAATCGTAATCGTTATAAAAAATATATTTGATCTTTCTTTTGTCACTTTTTATATTAATGCGTTTCCTTACGGCTGATTTCAGGCTAAATAAAATACAAATGAAATATGTTTACAAATTACTGTATTTATTTCGTTATAATTTTGGGGTTGGGCTATGACCTCGAAATGAGTGCATGCCAACAGTGAGTCGAGTGGGCGGGGGGAAGGGATGGGTGCAACCTTGAAGCTATATTTAGACTTGCACCACTTCCCTAAAGGGCTGGGAAAGGGATCCCAATCGCAAAACAAAAACTAATGATACAAAGTTGTTTATCGGAAATTTCTTGTCCGGTTTGACGATTATTTAGCATTGATTTTTGTATGATTTAGTAGGGACAAGGAGAAATATTCGAATTAATGTAAATGATTTGCTTGTTTACATCAAAATACAACATTGCACAATCGTGATATTTTAGGTCATTTACCAGTGACCTTTATTACGCATCCGTTAGTGCTAATAACAGTATAAAAACGCCATTATTCTTTCTCTTTGTTCTTGAATTATTTCTTTGGTTTCCTTCTTTCATCCAAGCATTCAACAAAGGTTACCATGGTTACTAATCACCCCATTAGCCTCAAGTAGTGCTTGGAACAACTACTTTTGATACGAGACCCAGGGGTCTCGTATCGTAATTAAGTAAAAGTTTATTACTTCAGTGCATTACGAGATCTATTTATCTCGTTCATTTCATAGTTACTAGTTGATACATCAAGAAAAATGCATTATATATGTACAAGTTTAATTTCTTTACGATAACTGTACGCCGAAATATCGATGTCGTAATTTTTGGGAAGAAGCCAAATTATGGGTCCCGCACTACGGGCTAGGTACGATACGAGACCTCGGGATCTCGTAGCGCAGTGAACGTGTTAAGTGCCAAATGAGGTTGATTAGTAAATTAACTCCAGCTGATTTACAGATAAACAACCACTCACTTACCTCCACAGATTCCAAAACCAAATGTTTACAAAAATTATTGTTTTCTAAACATCAGTAAAAGCACTAAGTCCCATTAATCACCACTGATAACAGTTGCAATTTTCTAAGGCAAATATTAGGTACTCAAGTTGTGTATTTTCAGACAAGTCATGGACAAAGCAGTTGAAAGTTCATTTTTTTAATAAGATAACCGGTCAGAATGTTGTATTCAGAATGAATGATACATGTATCACAATGGGGTTGATTATTAGTAGTTCTTACCTTTCCTAAAAAAAATTGTAGGACTGATACAGACAAAAAACTCTACAGATAGGACTGTGATCGCTTTAAGAAGTCATGGTATGAAAGCCCAATAGGTCCTATCATGGCCATTGGCTAATGTTGCGACTAAAATTTGAAAGAATGTTTTATTTCTAAATTAATAACTTACCGATTCTGGTGCCTAAATTTTCCAAAAGCACTCGGCGCTTTGCTGCCCCACTGGTGGTGAGGCCTACCACAGAAGCGGTCTGTACAAATCTCACATCTTCCAACTGCCGCAACTCGTGTAGTCTCATGATTATGTCTTGGTAACTGAAAAAAAACAATTCAATATAGTACAATTCCATGTGAAAGACACTAACTGCATATTTACCCTATATAACAGAGTATGAAATTAGATTTTCATTAGTATAGGCCTAGTTAGACTTAACAAGTAAATTACAAGGCAAAAATGTGGTTCAGATTCCACTATAAACTGTAGGTCCCTTATTTGCCATTGGCTGTATGGGCTATTAATTAACAGTATTGTCTAAGGAACATGTCGACCTTAGTCAGTAACAAGATTACAAGAACGCACCACTCATCCTACACTAATTTCCATTGATTTTTTGGCTTAAAATACCTACAGTACCTTCGCATGCTCGCCATTTCAGTAAGTAATAAAGTATTTAAAGTACCCTATCTAGTAACAAGTACCTACCTAAATAGTTAGGTTTGTTTGCTGCAACAGGAAAATAAAAAGTTTTTTTTCAAATATCTGTAACAGATATTTGAAAAAAATTGCATATAAAAGAATAAGGCTAAATTTACAAAATGTGTACAAAATAAATAAAAAAACAAGGTAACTCTAACAGTTAACTTTTCCTCCGTTATAAGAACATAACAAGGGAATTTAAAGGTACAATCTTTTGGAAATTTTTCCTGTAGCCGCCTTTGATTGTAAAATAATGCTATAATGTACAAAATGAATTGTTTTAACGAATTTCAAATAGCAATTTCTTCGTGGATCATTTTGTAGAGGTCAACAAATAAATAATTTAATATAGGCTTTTTAATCTTTGTTATGCACTAAATAGTCAATCAATCAATTTCTTTAAGAAATACATAGTGTCATACAGAGGTTGCAATTTGAATTTTCATCTTGCTTAACAATTTTGATCGAAGAATTCTTTTAGTGTGTCACGGAGACAATATTAAAAAATCAATTAAGTTAATTTGAAGTTCTTAAGTTATGAATATAGAGGATAAGTTAAGGCATTTGCTTGTTTGTAGATTATATTTTAGTCAAATTTGACAAATTCATTTTTTTCATTTCATACTAAGCTAGAACATTTTACTAAAAACCCACTTTATTATACCGTCATTGTAGCAGCAAACCTGGTATGAAAAATATAGATTGTATTGCTTAAATTCCTCAGATTAAAAAAATCAATTTTGTTTCCAAATCATTCATCACATCACATTTTAGCTTTTAAGTGGTGTATTCAGGAAAATGTCACTAAAAAGATTATTTAGGTTGTGACTTGCTAGAGTCATTGGCCCCATCCACTCAAATCTATATAAATAAAATTAGAGTTATTGGCCCCATCCACTCAAATATTCAATAAATACTTATGTATAATTTATATTAGGTACGATTAATATATATTATAATTTTATGTATAACATAGGCTAACTTAAATTTAAAATTTAAAGTGATTGAGTAGGCTACTTACATTTTGGTGTAATGTTGAACAACTTGCTTTAGTTGACACATGTATAAATAAACCCATGTTATATAGTATTCCCATCGGTCATTTGCATCTATATCCCACAAATTGCCAACATTTTGAAACAACTGAAATCTATCGGGATTGAATACATAACCTCTACATCTTTCAAACCTTTCATGCATGACTTGTGCTTGCCAATTCATTTCATCAATTTGCTGTTTGCATTGTTGATTATAGTAATATTTAGCATCCTGGGATTCATATTCTCTGTTTGCAAAATCATTTCTAATTTGGTTTATCTTAGCATTAATGGCATCAAAAGATAAACTGTATGATAATTCACTGTCGTAGTTTTCATCAAAGAAATCTTCTTCGTAGAAGTCATCTTCTTTCATATCAGCTAGGCGTTTAGCGTTCTCTTCTTCATCAAATTCTTCGAGCTCTTCTTCAGGATTATATGTTACATTTGTAGCTTCTTCTAAAAAATTAGTTCTGTCAAGCTCCTTTTTTGGTTTGTCATTCTCGTTCAGTATTTCATCTAAGATGTTGGATCCTTCATTTCTTTCCTTGGTTTGAAACTCTGGATCGTCATAGCAAAACAGCCAACTTAACAAAACATTGGGATCCTCTGAAAGTAGATTATACTGCAGAGGGGTTATTACTGAGCGCAGTACATGTATGTCCAAAATGCCCACTGGATTTGAGAGTTGCTCAATGTTATCTTTTATTGCTTGCAATTTGTACTGATACCCACGTTTCTGATCCATTGTTTCTCTGAAGAGAGCTGAATAATTTGTATTCCTAGCTTCTTTCATTTTCTTTCTCACTTCTTCTAGGTTGTACAGCTGTAAAGTCTCGTTCTGTGACTGCATTCCAATCCTTATTAAATTTTTTGTGTATTTCAAGATTCCCTCGAGGAACTGATCCAATGCATGGTTTGTATAACATATGACTACAATCGGAGTGTTGAATGAAACTTGATTTTTCAAAAGGATCTCTGTTATCTTGAGAGCAAGAAAGGTTTTGCCGGTGCCTGGGGGTCCTTGAATAACGACAAAGTCATTTGTCAAAGCGGATTTCAAAGCTTGATGTTGAGACAGGTTTAGATTCAAGTCTTCTGGGGATGGCCAACTTTTGTCATCAAGCAGATTTACATCGAATTTAGAAATCTTGTAAACAGAGTTATCAACCAGATGTGCTGGAGGGAAACAAGTTGTATCAACGTCTACAATATACTGCTTCATTGGGAAATTCTTCTCATTCATTCGCTGAAGGGCAGACAATACATGTTTGTAAGCCTCGTAATACACTTCAGATTCTGCCATCACAAAAAACACTCCGGGATTGACAAGATATTCCGGGATATCAGTTCCTGGGACAAATGTTATAAATAGTTTCCCCTTTTGCAGTTTATCAATCTTACGTTCGACGACAGTTGCGAGGTAGAATGTCTGAAAGTTATCATCACTCAAGAGTAGTAATGAGCCAGGCATGAATCTTTTGTTATATTCCCAGTTTATGTTGCGAGGCAATCTTTTATCACAGTCAAACTGTATGTCGAAACCAAAAACATCTCTAGATGTGACGGGGTTATCAAATTTAACTTTGGGGTATATTCGCACATTTGAATATCTGCGCTTTGCTGAAGGAGTGTTTAGACTAACTACATACTCTAAAATTCCTTCTCTTAAAGGAGCTATAAAGTCCTCTCTTAATAGTCTGAACTGAATATCTAGGTAGTGGTCCACATCTCTGTATGATCCTCTGACAATGTTCTGTCGCAGGTATCCATCTGTCGTTAAATCCTCTTCTGTTGGGATTAAAGGAATGTCTCTATAATTGTTGGGTGGTGGAATTTCTTTTCTATTTACATTGTAGCGGTGCTCTTTGCTAGTTTTAGTTCTAAGCTCAATGTAAGAACTAACCTGGTTTGTAAGTTCTTTAAGTTGTGAAAACAGTTCTTCACTGACTTGAATATGATGTTCATCTTTAACACTTAGCATAGCAAGGTTTAACGTGTTTAAAGTGCTTTTCATTTTCTCATTCATGAGCGAGGGGAAATGATTTACTACGGTGTCTAAGACATTAAGAACATTTACAAAGAAAGTGTTCATGGCCATTAGTCTTGTACGGTTATCATCAATACAAATCTGTGAAAAAAACTTCTTCAATTCATCAACAAACTCAGGCCTAAAAGTATTTGAAAATATCTGTACTTTTAGTTGCTGCGCTTCAGAGTAATTAATTTTGTCAAAAACCTTGATTATTAACATCAACAAGTCAGGTCTTATTGGAGTTTCATTTACTAGTTCTTGAAAACCAGATCTTGGACTTGCCAAAGTGGTTAAAACAAAACTTGTTTCTTTATCTAACAAACTTTCCAAAAACTTATAACCCATAGGTTTATTAGATCTTTTTGTCCATGTTTCTGGCTCTCTACTTTTATTGACACGTTCATTACTTCTCTGGGCTTGATTATTGCTATCACTAATATTCGACCTCCATCCTCTACTATGCCCATCTTTCTTGGAATCATCAAAACTTTTCTTACCATCATTGTTTCTATCATTTAAATCTGATCGATTTCTAGGAGTAGTTTTTGAATCGGAATCTACCAAACTTGTGTCCTTTTCCTTAAACTTTTTGTTCTTAGTATTTTGAGACATTTTACTTTCAATGTTGTCAACCATTGAAAAAAATTGATCAGATATATTTTCTTCTGATTTAAGTGCTGGATTTTCAACAAATCCATCTTTAGGACTTCTATTGTCTCTTTGTTTTTTTCTTTTAAATTTGGAAGCATTGCCTAGATTTTCACTATTGTCGTTGTTATGAGTTTCTTTACTGCTTGAATTTGCATTGCTCTTTTTTCTTTCACTGTTGACCTCTTCATTCTTGTTTCCAGGCTTTTTTGCCTTGAAATCATCAAGCAATGATAGGAAGTTTCCAGCAAATTTGTTTGACTCAGCCATGCTTTGAGACCTGAAACAACGCAAATTATTATATAGACTTAAACAATTTTTATAATGACTCAGCCGTTAGAACTGCTGTTTTCAAATGTTCTATAAAAACTACAAAAGGATCATAAAACTATTGTATTTGCATCAATAGTTATTTGTGTAACTAGTGGGCGAAGGGACACTTTGCACTCGTGTTACTTGGATTACCTGCACAAAAAAAGTACCGTACGCTGTTTTGTGTTGTTTGGTTGGAAAACTGGTGTGCGCTTAATTAAAAACCAAGTGCCAAAGTAAGGCTTTCTGTACTATAATCTGTGCAAGGAAGCCCACTTTGTCAGTTGACAGTAGGAAAAAAAATTGTATAGGCTCTATCTTAACAAATCAAGCATTCTAATAATATTGCAAAAACGAACTGGGCGAGTAGTTAGGAAACAGCCCGGATTTATCTCAGAAGGTTTCCATTGTAATGAGTTGCTAACTGGTTACAATAACATTATAAAAGGTCCAAGTGAAATAGTTGAGGCTTTTAAATACCATTTTGGTAGTAGTGTTGGTCAACAGTCCTTCATCGGTGGTTCAGTTCACGATGCAATAAATTACATAAATAATACAAAGGTACAAAGCTTAACTTTTTTCATCGATGTATATAACCTAACTGGATCGTGCTCGGCTGGTAAACGAAAACGGTCCGCCGCCGCCGCGCCGCTCCCCCCACCACAATTGGGGTACCGGAGCGGCCCATAGCATTGAAGTAGCATTGTGACCGCCGACATATCACACTTTTAGCGAATTTCCCTATAGGGAAGTAGCCACAGCCACCTCTAATACAAGGCCGCGACGTTCGAACTGGCAACGCCGCAATCACACCCCCTCTGCGTCCGTCTTCACACGCGCTAGGCTATGAACATCAATGAGAGTATTGCTGCTCTGTATCAATGAATGAAAGTATTTAAATACGTAATAACATATTTTAGTAGATTTTAAGGTACAGTATGGTAAAATAGACAAAATTGTAATCTAGGTTGTTTATTTAGTGAAAATTTTCAACATACCGCAATATGTCTAAAACTAAAAATATACAAAGATAATGTTTTTGGTTGCATTTATCGTATTGTAAGTACGATGAATGTGGAAATAGATGAACTTTAAATATTTCCTTTGTTAATTTGATAATCTACACTATTATATAACAATCTCATGGTGTCTGTATATATGTGTGTTATTCAACATAGTAAAAACTACTAGACAGACTGTGCTTAAATTTTACAAAATAAAGCTACTATACCAAGAATGGTTATACAGTAGGACTAACTTATTGCCACTTCAATATTTGTAGAGACTTTGGGATTTGTAGAGACTAACATCTAACAATTTGTTCAAATAAAATTAATTTTAAATTTTTAATAGGAATATTATGTTTTAGTCTACCTGAGAAACCATAAGTTAGCGACAACAAAATTTGAAGTTTTCATTGTGAAGGCATACTGACTAAATAATTTATTTTCTTTGAATAATTACTAAGAAAAACGTTTGCCATTTTGTAAATTTCAGAAGCTAGGCCTCCATATGGCTTTCCACAATATTAATAGAATTTTTTATCACATCAACATCCAGACTGGATTCGGAGACTATGATGCTTTTATTGTTAGATGGTGCAGTAGGTTACATATTTTTTTACTAGTAGGCCTACTTAACAGAAACACCGGCTAATTTCTTTGAAGTTGCATTTATTTAAGTTATTTTAATCACTTAACAACAGCATTTATCAATAAGATAGACAAATAAATAAGGAAATAGTACGGTATTACTACCTAAAACTTGCTTCTCGCGTCTATATTTACACCAATCATTGTCTTATTCTTACATTTTTTTACAAATTTAATCTAAGCTCATATTCGTGAAAAATGTTTCACACAAAAACGAGAATATTTTTAAGATGTCTAATTTGATCGAAGAATAGCAGAAAGCAATTTGTTGCTTACGCGGTGGATCAAGTAGAATCTTAGAACACTGTATGTATTATTAATTTTTTAATTGAGCTATCGTAATAATTCTTGCATCCAGGCACATCACATCTATCTAGCATGCTGTAGTAAGAAGTTTAATGTCATTACTAATGATTAAAGGTAGTAGAAACGCGATTATGTACGTAGAGTACGCGACTCCTCCATTCACTGTAATGGTAAAACGACCGAACGCCAAGACACTGATGCGACGTTGCCGCTTTTCACTCGCCGCGGCCTTGTATTAGAGGTGGCTGTGAAGTAGCTATTACCGTAGGTGGCACGGTAAGACCTAGACCCGGGACCGATTTACTTTTTCATTTTGATGTCCCCAGAGGACAAAAACACTATTCGTTCAAATTTTTATATATGTATATATATATATATATATATATATAGACATATATATATATACGTCCGTGAACGCGATAACTAGAGTAATTTTTGTCCGATTTTGATGAAATTTGGTTTAAAGGTGTAAAGCGGGATAAACTTGAATGAGTTCGCGAACCAGCACGATCGGACCATGGGAACGGGGCTTTACGGGGGGTTTTATGGGGTAAAAAATGGTTTTTCTCACTTTTGACCCTCAAAACACAAAATTTCCCAATTTCTCTTTAGACCTTTCTAAAGAGCTTAAAAAAACAAATAATTTAGTACATAAAAGTATTTTTGTTCGAATATTAGTAACGGAGAAAATGAAAAAAAATTGTAAATTTAAAATTCCCATGTTATTCTTATGGAGAATATTGTCAAATGTTGTAGTTTGCTTGTTTATGAATATATTTCGATCAAACTTGGCAAATTTATTTATTTTGTGCTAAGCTATCAATATTTTACTCGAAAACACACTTTATTAGTTTTCTTGTAGCAGCAAACCTAGGTACTCGTTAAATCTAATGTTATTAAAATATATTTAACTGAAAATCAATTCAGACAAATGGAAATTCGCTTAGTCGGCAGGTTTGCTGCGGCGGGGGTATTTTACTTATTTTTTGTCACCAAAATGTTTTAATGAATTTCTCTTTTCGTGTATGGTATTGTATGTAATATTTTTTCATAGGTACATTCTCTAAATTATAACATACGGACCCGGAACACATATTTAAGTTTTAACTTTCTTGTAGTTTTGGATTTATAACACAGTTTTGATGGTATATGTATTGATATGGATTATTTTATTTTGTCATTTGGGTTGGATAGTACAGTACATCCGTTGACATTAAATCATATTATATACCCTTTATTTTTTACTCTTACAATATTAAGAAAAACTACACTACTGCAATACATTTCCTGGGTATAGTAGTTACATGTAGAATAATAAAAGGTAATTAAACTAAACAACTGTCGTAGATGTATTTACACGTTAATTAATCTAATCAACAATACAACTTTTACATATAACGATCATTAGCCATTGATAGACGTGGATACACAAAATAAGTTTATATATACTTTTTAATACAACATGCATATAATTTTAATGAGCGTTTAATGATTGTCTTCACTAAGACCTCTGTTTGATCCGTGGCCTCGGAACACATTGCCAGCAAACATCTTTGATGCCAAAGCACATATACAGTATATTACAGTATATGAATTCATTAGCTTGGAAGTCCTTAGTTACTCCCACAGCCCCCATTTTGTTTCTTTCACTTATAATTTTTTTCTAAAGAGTGGTTAAAGATACAAAATTGAAGCTTTGCACAAAAATTTATAATAACTATTCAAAGCTAAAAATAATTGAAAATTTTTCAAATTCATTAAACAAAATTGTAGCTATTTAAAATTTTCTTTCATAATTAACTCAAAAGTTGTTGATTTAACAAAACTCTTATATGGCCGCCATTTTGTTATATGAATATGAAAATTGTCATTATTGTTAGAGCTTTGTCTAGTTGTCTTTAATGTTTGTGCAAAGTTTAAATTTCGTATCCTTAACCACTTTTTAGAAAAAATTATGTGAAAACAAAATTGTGGTTCTATTCTTAAACCATAAGGTGAAAATTGTGGTTGTCTGAGTAAATAAGGACTTCCGGACAAATTAAATATGATATTTGGATAAGTTTCTTACTCAGGAGCAATGCCCTACAATATTGGTAGTGAGTTCCAGGACACCCTGTATATATTATAGGGAGTTATAATTCTAAAAATTGTCTTATAGCTTTTCATATATCTCCAGTTTGAATGAAGGAAGCCAAAGACTTCGTTTTGGTCTTGAAATAACTGTTAAATTACGTGTGGGTTTTCATATGAGACGTCAATCATTCAAATCAAGCAAGTTTAAGGCGATTCATAAGCCTCTAATGTAGGAAAATTTGAATTCTTCTGAAATATTTCTACAATTAAAGATTAGTATCTCAAGTTATAATTGTGATACGTCATATGTTTAAGTCTAAAGACATTTGGTGAAATACCGGCTTTCATTTAAGCTATTAGTAATTCAAATCGGACGAGTTTCAAGCATCCAAAAGTGAACAACCAAAATGTAGGCCTATCTTTTATAAGGTCTTTCGATGATTAAAAATCAGTAGCTCCAGTATTGTTCATGTTTTTATTATATGTTTCAAACTAAAAATAATCAGTAAATTATGGTCCTTAATTTGAGCTTTTAGCTATTCAAATCGGACAAGATTCTTTCTGAACTGTGTGCCTCCAAACAACGAAAATACAAAATATTTCAGATTTTGTTTTTAATCAACGATCCATAACTCCAGTTCTATTCAAGTTAGTTTATAAATTTGGTATCAAATTGTTTATTAAATTAGCGGCTTTCATTTGAGCCAATGATCATTAAATCTGACAGGTCAACATGTATCATTTAAACTCCGAAGTCAACGCAAGAGTCATTCTCCGGTGCCGCGTGGGTATGGGGGGCACTTGTGGTGGGGGGAACCTATTGAGCGCCGGCTCGTTTTCAGCGCTGTACTCTCGTTGCAGGGCGTGATCCAGTTAGGTTATATACATCGATGACTTTTTTTTATTTTGTCCAGTCACAAAAAGAGATATGATTAAA